ATGAAGTTGTGAATCCGTAATAAACTTAAATTTGCGCCACATAAGACCAAGGCAATGGTAATAACCAACAAACTAAAATACGATTCCCCACGTCTGAGCATGGGCAGCATGGACGTTTGCATGTCAGAGGAGATCAAGTTGCTTGGTCTCACCGTAGACAGGAAACTCACATTTAACACACATGTTAGGAATGTGTGCAAGAAGGCCACATCTATCTAAACACAACTATCGAGAGCAGCTAAGATTAGTTGGGGCATTCAACCTAAAATTATTAGGACGATGTGCACGGCGGTCATTGAACTTCTTTATCAAGCATTGGTTGAATCTACTAGGAATAGAATAAAATGATTTTTATTCAATATTGATTATTATATAATACTTATTGAACGTCATTATTTTATTTACCATTGGTTCGGAAAATACCTCTGTCCTGGGAAGAACCAGCAAGAAATCAAGCGGGACTTTTTTTAAACATAATTTCACTTAACAATAATTTTGTTTATACAGTTTTAAATGAACTTTCATAGAACCAGCATGGTGGCGATCACCTTATTCCCAGGGATTATTTTCATTCATGTATTCCTTGATATTATAATAACCCTTTTTGCACAGTTTTTCTTTAATAAAACTTTTAAACTTGTTTATTGACAAACTTTGAACATGTTCTGGGATTTTGTTGTAAAAGCGTATACATTGCCCCATAAATGAATTACTAATTATGTGGAGTCTAGTAAGTGGCATTACAAGCTTATGTTTGTTCCTAGTGTTTGAGGTATGAACATCCTTATTCTTATTAAAGCTAGTTATGTTTTTATGTACATACATTACATTTTCATAAATATATTGCGATGCCAAAGTTAATATGTTTATTTCTTTAAATTTTTCTCTGAGTGACTCTTTACAATTTAGATTAAAAATCGCCCGTACGGCTCTCTTTTGCAAAACAAATATAGCTTCAATATCAGTCGCATTACCCCATAGCAAATTTCCATAAGACATTACGCTATGAAAGTAACTAAAATACACTAACCTAGCTGTCTCAACATTTGTGAGACTCTTACAGCATATGCTGCAGAACTAAGTCTGCTTGCTAATTTAGATATATGGGGGCCCCATTGAAGTTTCGCGTCAATAGTAATACCGAGAAAAACAGTGGTATCCACAAGACTCAACTCCTCCCCATTTAAGAGCACATTGGTTTTCGAATGTTTTACATTTGGTATTGTAAATTTAATACATTTTGTCTTATTGCCGTTTAAGAGCAAATTGTTGGCGTTAAACCAATGTACTAGTTTCGTTAGAGCATTATTTACATCGTCATATTTAATTGACTGCCGTTTCAGTTTGAAAATTAAAGAGGTATCGTCAGCAAATAATACTATATCGTGATTGTCTCCTACAAGATAAGGTAAGTCATTATAGAGACTATTTTTTTACATATTCTTTAAAAGCATCGGAAAGATTATACGATCTTTCATGGTAAAGGTCATATAACCTTCGTCTGCTTTTATGAATTCCTACTGTCGCCCACTCATTAAATGCCTTGCGACTGTTTCTGGAGAATGTTTTAGAAGTGAATGTTTAATTAAATTCATTGTTTATAAAGGTAAATAATTCTCTATATAAATAGTCTGCATTGTTCTTATAAGAAAGGGATGGAAGGTTTTTTTACCATATTACTTCTAAATCTCTCCAGGCGTTTTTCATTAATAGGAACAAACACAATTTTCTCAATTACCTGTTTTTTGTGCATATAAGGTAACGAAACCAGTTGTCCACAGTGATCTGAACTAAGTTTTTGAATTATTGATTTGTTGATTGGTACAACACCTGTAAAAATATTATCAATACAAGTTGCACTACACGCTGCAATACGTGTAGCTTCAAAGAATAAATTATTAAGATTATAGGATTTGTACAAAGAACAAAATTTAATACTGATGGAAGAAGTTTCCAGGAGATTGATATTAAAGTCTTCACACACTACAAGAGATTTATTCTGTTTAACTAAGCTTAACTAAAACTTCTTCCATAATTTTTTCAAAAGTATCATAATTTGAACATGGGGTTCTGTAAACACTGACAAAAATAAGCTGCTCAAGCTCAACACATGCCATTTCTACAGTACGCTCAACAGAGAGGCTCACAATGTCTTTACGTTCTTTACATGATATGGACTTATTAGCTAATATTAAGGAGCCACCACGTAATTTAGTATCTCTATTGAACGAACTGACCACCTGGTGATTACTGAAATTAAATATGGAGTTGTAATCTTTCAACCAATATTCTGTAATACATAAAATATGTATACTGTTACTATTTAAAAATAATTCAATTTCTAATTCTTTGCCTAATATACCTTGTATATTTTGATGCACCAGGTTGATACAGTTTTATTTTTATTATTGTTATTTCGTAAAATTGCATGATTATGTATTGGTAAGTTGCATTTTAAGCTATTTAAATTATCTTTGCTAGAGATTACCTCTATTGTCTTATTATCTAATTTAAATTACTTGGAACTGGTTCCAAATCAAATATAAAATTATTTTGTTGCTCAAAAGAAGCAGGTGTCAAGGTAGCCAAATCATTGGCTTAGTTAAAATATAAATAATAAGATAGCGTATTTGCTACCAGTCTTAAACTATACTTTGATAGGTAATACCTATCTCTTATCAAAAACTTCTTAGTTAAATTATTAATATCAATTAAATGAAATTTATCATTATTATTCTTACAATTAAATGTCAAATTTAAGTTATTGTTACATGTCAAGTTATGCATCATTAAATTTAAATTTGAATGTATTCCTGTACTCGGCGCTAGCATTGTCTGGTCTGCTTCCGCTGGACTTGAATGTCCAAGAAGCAGCATCCCTTTTTGAGGCGAGGAGAGGAAAACTCCAGTCAGTGCTGGCAGACCGTGTGGTGAAAACAAAGACGAGCTTTACGGAACTACCTCACCCAGCATCCTATATAGACCTGCAATTCATATGCCTGGTAAACGAGGATAAAACGAAACTCAACAACACCCAGAGTCTCCGAATATTTACCGACGGGAGTCAAAAAGAGTGAAAAGTTAGAGTGGCATTATTTTTTTGGAATAATACTGCCAAGACCCAAACTCTGAAGCTCAAACTGTCGGACCACTGCATTGTTTACCAGGCAAAATTACTGGCCATATATATGGCAACTGAGCGGATCCTTTCTAGCACAGAAACAACTTTCAGGGTTGACAGTGACTCTAGGTATGCTCTTAAGACCATTGTGAACCAAGATTCCCAACATTCTCTAGCAGTCAAGACCCGCAAAAACCTTCACAACATCTTAAGGCAACAAAAAATAAAACAACTTTCTTGTATAAAAGCCCATGCGGGTCTTGCAGAAAATTAACGAGCTGACGAGTTGTTGAAACACGCAGCGCGGCGAACCAAAAGAAGCCCAGACTATGACCTTTGCTCGTTTGCGGCATGGGCCAGTGAGTCGTCCTCCCTGTGCGGAGATGGCTGAGAAATGTTCCCATGGACAACCTTGGCGAGAGACCAGAATATACGGGTTCCCGAAGGAAGTCGAACTAGTTTCTCGCCAATTCTGCCGATGTGCTCTGGCCTTGCCTTGGCAATGACTCTTTTAAAGGATCTGGAGGCGGAATCATACTTATATTTAAGAACGCTGGTGTTTACATTCCGATACGTTGATGTGTCAGCCCAGGCCTGCTTATAGCGTGATGCTATTTTACAGGAGTGACCAAACCATGACTACGATCTGTCGCCCATGGGCACCACAGAGGAAGAAATAAAAAGTTACATAGCCTGAAGTACCACATCAGCGACAGAATTAACAACAACGTTTGGGATTGTCCGGCGAGAAGCAAACCCGCCTCCAAGGGTAGGATGCAAAGAAATACCGCATCCCATCCCAATCGGCCGACCTATAGTGCAAAAAAACAGCGGCAGCCTGCAGAATGCAACCACGATGTTAGTGTGAGTGGAACCACACTCCGGACTTGACAATGGTGCGAGGAGCCAAGAGGGGCGGCGAAGGAGACCTGATATATATCCGGATGAGAGGTCAGCAGAAGGTACAACAGGGAAGGTGCATGATCCTCCACATCTGGAATCCAGGTAGGCGAAATAACCAGTTGTGTCAGACAATATGCCAAGGCAAAATTATGAATTATGATTCACAGTATATTATGAATTGACGTCAAACCTTACACCCTTATAGTGGTCACACCGTATATCGGAACACACCCATACTCAGCATTATTCGCTTGACCCGTGAACTTTTAAACTTGATTTTTTATAAAATAAAATACCTACCTATTGTGATGGATTGGAGTAACAAATCCACTATTTTTATATAACTTGATCAAGGAGAACCCGTCATATGGGGTCCTAGAAATCAGTTTTAAATAAATATGAAAGTATGTATATATTTCACCATCATCCTCATCATTACAACCCTTCATAAGTCCACTGCTGAATATAGGCCTCCCCCAGGGAATGCCACAAACCTCGGTCCTGAGCCATCTGCATCCATCGACTTCTTGGATGTCTTACCAGGTCGTCGTTCCATCTAGGGAGCGGGGGGGGGAGGGGATTATAAATATTTGTGAGTATATAAAACGTAGTCATGGCAACAAGACGCACGTTTAAAAAATCTACGTTGTATAAATACAGACGAATATGTAAACGCGTCGTATTCGTACATGAATAACTCGGCGAGTTGCTCGTTCCGATAATCTAAGCCTTATTGAATATGAAATAAAAATAATAGTACAGAAAGAGACATTAACCCTTATATTTTTCAAACAAATTAATTTCCCCGTTAGAAAAAGTCGTGCATTTTGGATTATCGTCTTATTATCGAGTTAGTGAGTGTCCACTCGGGTTAACTCTAGTTAAGCGCAACTCGAACTAGTAAGCACAGACCACAGAGTACTTTTTATTTTTATAAACCGGAATTAGTAAGTCGGGTTGACCCATCCCTATAATCAATACAGTAAACAAGATGAAACACATTTCAATAATTTTTGTTTTCTAACGGCGATCGACGAGAGCTATAGAACTATAGAAAATACTAATAGAACCAAGTTTATTCTAAATCTATGAATAAAACTCTCCACCGAGCGATATCGTGGTATCGGCGAATGAAAAACGCTCTTAGAATTTTAATTACCCAGTGAATCTGTTGAATTTAATCTTCCAAATCCAATATAATAATTTAGTGAAGTAATATACTACCACATACTACCTACTCTTTAACGAGAGATAGTGAATCTACAGTTTGTGGTCTCTAAAATGCCTAAACTAAAAGATACGCGGAAAATGTATTCGTCACCTCAAAATGCAGGCTATACGAAAAAGGCCGATGTGGTTTCCGCCTCCACAAGAAAATTCATAAGTAAGTGCAATCAGGAGAATAAACCTGCAAAGTCTACGAATACGTCCCCAGTTGATGATTCTTCAGAAAACAATACTCGATCATTATTAGAGAAAGAAAATAATACAACACCTAAACCAAATATTATAAGGGAACATTTGATGCCATCACTTGCTGATTTAGAAAAAATGTTTGAAGATTCTGAAAACAGCCAGCAGCTGCCATTGACAACATCAGTAACTTCAGAGAAAGGTGAAAAATCTCATCTAATTCAAAAAAGCAATGCAAATGACATGCTATCATCAATGGACGAAACTATAAACGAAAATAATATAATGTTAAATGAAAGCTCAACTCACATTATTTCAAATATTATTGATTGTCAAAAACCTGCTGAAATGAACACAATAGACTTAACCAATGATGAAAATGAACATGTCAACAGCACTGGGACTAGTAGGAGACACCATAGAATGAGCCGTGATAGTTGTGATAGTGCAGATATTACTAAAACTGTAATTAATGAATATCACAGTTTACCTTTGCCTAGCACTTTCAGAGATAATAATACCATTAAAAAACGTTTTGGTGACTGTTTACGTAGGTATGGTTTTGACTCTCCAAATTTTCCTGCAAATTCTGAGGAAAGTGATCAATTGGTTTCGAAAGCAATCAATGAAGTTTTGTGTGATGCAATTAGAGATGGAACATTTGACAAATATAGCCTATGTTTCAAAATGAAAATATTGCTTGATATTGCAGAACATGACAAAGTAAATGAACCTTACAACTGTCATAGTAAAAGAGAAGCAAATTCAGGACAGCTGTTAAACAGGACATCATGTGGAAGCTCACAATTAAGTCTTGGTAATTGCCCAATCTGCATGCATAATCTAGCTAACCGTTTTGCTGTATCAACTTTTTGTGGTCATATATTTTGCATGGAATGCATTGAAACAGCAATTAATGCTAATGGGCATAAATGCCCAACTTGTACAAAGGATTTAATTGATCCTGAGTATCATTTCATTTTTCTATAAACAAAAAATAATATTACCGTTGATCTTAGTTTTATAGTTTGGTACTTTTTTCAAATTAATATTCAAAGGCTCTGAAGGTGATGTTTTTTATTATTTATTAAGAAAAAATGTATGTACCTATATAAGTTGATGTGAAAATTATATCTAATCAAATATTATTGTAACCAGTATTAATATTTCAGAACCTACTCATTTTCCATTTAGATGGCAAATAAGTTAAGGTTTTTTTTCAACTATTTTGTGTCTACACATATAAAAGGGATCACTAATATCCCATTTGATAATTCTAATTTTAATAAATTCATAAAATTTGTGGTTTTATTTAAATATTTTTGTTAAAGTATGCAAACCAACAAAGCAACACTACCCATCTCATTGTAACACAGAGCATCCTCTATCCTCCTTGCCTGCACCAGAAGAACCACCACTACAAGCAGAACCATAATACTATCTTAGCACTTGTAAAATAACTTAGGTGGAATCTCCTAGGCACAAAGCCTACAGTGAACTTTATACAGCACCAATAAGTGGGGAGTTTCTCGATAAACCTTCAATTTCACCTTGCCACCATCAATATGATGCTCAGCTAATGATGCAACCTCTAGCTAGGGATGATCGATCATCGTTGTTTGATGATCATCGATGTCAAGAATGAAAACAATGATGTTGCCACATGTCAAACATCGAAACATTGATGTCATTAAACCCATAGTCGATTATTGGGTACTTACAAATCGACGAAATCAATATCAAGTAAATCTTGCATCTCCTCTAAAATATTTAAAATTTTGAATAATTCAGAATGCTTGAACGCATCGATAACCTAAAAATATATCATTATGGGGTATCAAATTTAACTGTCAAGTGTCAACTGTAATGTCGCATTTGTCACTGATTTCGTTTGTTATTGGTGTCGTTGTTGGTTATCTGTTTCTTTATTGGATGTTTTAAAAAAATATCCGATGGTTGATCTTAAACACGATCCAATGCATGTTTAGAACAATGTTATCGGTTCTACCTTCTAAAATTAAAAAAGAAAACCTGCGGTGAGATATTTGACCACAATCGCTACATCAGCACCATCTGAATGGTTATCCACCGACTTCAAAAAGAAGGTACTCAATTCCACTTTATGTTCTTTTTTTAATGTGTGTTACCTCTATAACTTTTTTCTGGGTGAACCGATTTCGATGATTGTTTTTTTTTATTTGAAATTTGGTGCTTTACATGTGGTCCCATATAAATTAGATCCATATAAGTCTGACCAATAGTTTTTGAGTTATCCTTAAGTCAGTTGTACAAAATTTTATTTTCAATAGCTGGCTCAACTCTTAACATTGATGTTTTGAGTAGGATAAACATCGACCATCCCTACCTCTAGCTCACTCTCGATGCAACCGGTATTTTATAGGTGCACCGACATATAAATTTTGAAAAACAAAAACTATGATTATGGGCATAACAAGTAACCTGTACTTTACACTATGCTAATCTATAAAGGTGTTGTAATTTGAACTAAGAATATTTTTATTCTCTTTGGAAGTTAAGCAGTAGTATTTTAATCTACTAGCTTAACACTTAAATAACTTATAACAACTTTAATAATTATTTATTATTATCATTACAACTAGAGCTAACACTACCATCGGAATGTAAATGTTCTATTGATGCAGACAGTTGTTCCAAACTTTGTACTAATTGGGCCATTTTGTCTTTAGAGTCAGAATTATCAAAGTTATCTTCAGTGGGTTTCTCAGCATCACCATATAAACGAAAATGTAACCTTGCTAAGTGTTCTTGCTGATCTCTTATATTAATCATTTGTTCCATACTACAACCAGAACCAAATGCGCTTAACTTTCCTGTATGGAAATCATCAAGCAACTCAAGCAGTGCTTTTTCCATATGTTTAACATCTGGGGTCTCTTTTGGAATATGTTTTGGTTTAGTATTATAATTCGAACGAACGAAATCACGATGTAACCTTCTTTCATTAACATATGACAATTTGGCAGATTCATTCACACTATTGTTCCCAGTGCTAGTGAACAACTGCCCAGGTCCATGATTTCTCGAAGTGAGACTTGCTGCTTCACTAGATAATTTAATACTTGTGACCGGAGACCCAGCCATTTGTGGTATGTTTTTTTGTTCTTGACTTTCATTTTGCATAAGTTTTTGAGTTTCGTTCGCTTCTTCTAAATCAACACTCATATAGATTTAAAAAACTTATTGTTTCATTATTTTTAAAATATTGCTACATAAATTCTGATTACAATAATACTTAGTCATAGAAATAGAATTATTATACTGAGTCTAATTATACACTCAATATAATAATATTCTGTGCCTATTTATCTGACTGATTTTTTGTTGCTGTTTTTATTATTCGCTCGAGAAAGCAGGCAAAGGAACTAAGCCATACAGCCTTGCCTTTGTTATTTTGAATATATAGAATTTTAGAATCTAAAGGCTGGAATCAAGTCTTATTTTCTTTAATTCTTCATATTTTCAAAAACCGTAAATTCTAAATCCAATTCTTCTTTATATTATATTCTTTGTAACTTTCAATACATGTAGATTTGTCAATCCAATATTTTCAAAAACAGGGATACCATATTTCATATTTCTTTTACAGTATTATGAATAAAATTGCAAAGTGCTAAATATGTCTTAGTATTCCTAAGAACATCTTGCAGGGCACGCGGGACGTTTTCTGAGTTTTCATAAACTTGTATAAGTTTTTCAATGAGTAGCAATCTTTCTATGGTACGCTGGGCAGTTAAATATTATATGTTCTGCAGTCTGATCTACTTCTGTATCGCAGAAGTTGCATGTTGCAGATGCTACTATTCTCATCCTGGAAAGATGAGCGTTCAGTCGATAGTGGCCAAATCTAAGTCTGCACATTATTGTATAAAATTTTCTGCTATGATATCTCTCGTTGCGAGAAAACCAAGGAATACTTAATTCTGAATTAATTGATGCATACCAACGACCTTTTCCTGACTGTAAAACAGCATTCCATTGAATTTTTTTATAGGATAAGGGTGACAAACGAGCACACAGTCCACCTGATGGTAAGTGGTTGCTGCGGCCCATAGACATCTACATCTATCCTCTGTTACAAATCAAAATGTAGATGCGTTGTCACCCGTGAGAACTAAGATGGAATGCCTCATTTCCAGTAAAAAGGGCCTCCGGCCACCTGCACTCACCAAGCGAAACGCAGAGGTAAACCTCTACTTCACGCTGGTTTTCTGTGAGGTCGTGGTACTACCCCGGTTCGAGCCGGCCTATCCGTGCGACAGCAAAAGCTGCCGCGTGGCTCTACCACTATTAAAAATTTAATTCTTCTTTTAACTGTTGCTTTCAAATTGAATATAAATCTATATGTGGTATTGCAACACCGGTTATCCTATCAATATCAGTTGTAACTATACTTTTAGCTAAAGGAATTTTGGTGTGAACTTGACCGGCAGCGGTTTGCTGCTCCTATATTATAGTTTAAATAATAGTTTGAAGTGGAATTTGATATGTAAAAGTGGTGCGATTTTATATAGTATTAACTGTCTACGCATGTGAACTATTAGTGGAAACGGTGAAACAAGTGCTCTGTTGGTTATGGATTCTCAAGATAAGCTGTTTGTTTGCATAGGCGCCTTTATATACCATCGCCAACTGTCACCTGTCTGCTGGCTCAAGTTGCCGTCAAAATCTCCCAAGGGCTGCACAATGTGACGCATCATCATATTGTGAAGCAGTGAAATTCTATATATTCAAAATAAAAAAGACAAGGCTGTATGGCTTAGTTCCCCTGCCTCGAGCGAATAATAAAAACAACAACAACAACTTTTAACCATGAAATGCCATGAAGTATGGAGTATAGAGTAGAAGGAGGACCATCTCTGTATATGAAGTGTCCCTAAAAACGCGTCCAATAAGGGTGGCGCTGCAGTAGCATAGGATAAATTTAAAAAAAGCGCCAAAATTTATTAGAATAAGATGGAGAAATAAACAAGGACCGACCAATCCGCTTGGTTTTGTACTACGTAAATAGTTGAGGTTTTGTATACTGGCATTTTACTAACTACTCTAGTCATGAAATTTTTTAAATATTTTAATTCAGCTGACTTCACTCCGTCTACAACAGCTATATTCATATCGTAGTTTTTCAGACGCCAGCGCTATTGTGGTAGGTTTTGGAACCTCTATTTTCAGTATATATTGGGACACTTTTTCAACTTTCGCACCTTATATGATGGTTCTCCTTCTACTCTACACTCCATACCATGAAGTTATAGATAAAGATGGAGACCACACTCCGAATACCTACTTGAAGCTTAACCTATGTATTACTATCTCGCTCTCTGTGGGCAGGCCCTCCCTTTCTAAGTAGGTAACCTTTATTTTATTTTTCCCAGGATATCGCTATAAGTAGTTGAGTTACATTAAGTGTTTTATTTATAAATATCTATATCTCTGTTTACTACTAAGACCTAGCCTATATAGATTATATATTTTCGTACAATTTTTTTTTGGGAATTGACTAGATTTATGAAGAAAGGTTTTCATTTCCATGGGCAGAACCGGTATTAAAATATGACCACGCATTTCCGTCACAACCCATATAATGCCGAGCCTATTTAGAAAATGTGGAAAATAAATATATCAGAGAATATTTTATAACTACCATTTCGATAATGTATTTTCTGGTTATTGTATACAATTCCTAAACGGTACCAACGAAATATAAAATTAAAATTTATTATAACCCCGGGTGGTCAATGAATTGGGCAAAATATACCTGATTTATTGTTCAGACAGACTAAATCTATTTCTGGACAATTATTTAAAAAAAAATATCACGAGGACTAAAGCAGCGTAGCGGAGCTCCTGCCTTAGCCTTCTGACCTAACCCATCCGAGTCAGGCTACTCTGAGCTGAAATGTGTATAATACTATATTCCACACATCCAGTTCATTTTAAGAATTATCTACAATTATCTACAAACATATGTACTATAATAGGAACGATAATATATTATTATTTTGAGTTGTTATCAGGAAAATGCCGCTGCCCATCTCCTGTTTCATTTTCCCTCTGACACCTCTTACAACACCCTCGGAACGATATAGGGTAGTGGATATTCTCACACCACCACTACATGGTTTGTTAAAAACCTTAAAAAAATAAATAAAAACACTTTCCATATTAAAATTATTTATTGAATTTTTCACACCATGTGGATTACTCTGTGGCTTTTGAAGTCCTTACAGATATGAGCAAAGCGCCCTTGAATAATATTTTCAATTTCCCATATTAAAATTATTTATCGAATTTTTCACACCATGTGGATCACTCTGTGGCTTTTTGAAGTCCTTACAGATATGAGCAAAGCACCCTTGAATAATATTTTCAATTTCCCATATTAAAATTATTTATTGAATTTTTCACACCATGTGGATTACTCTGTGGCTTTTTGAAGTCCTTACAGATATGAGCAAAGCGCCCTTGAATAATATATTCAATTTCTGACTGACCCGTATACTTTTTAATAGTGTCCATTAAAGAAGAACTATCCTGAATTTTTTAGTTCGGCGCGCCACTTTTTGCTTAAGAATCTTAGTTTTCGTCTCAAGTATTTCTTCTTTAGTACACTTTATTTTCACTTGCACGCCCCTATCAATCTTCGCGGGATCGTCGTATTCACTGCTGACCTAAGAAAACAAGAAAACTTTATGAAATCAGTATTTTTAGCATCGTACATCGTCGTAGGGGTACAGGGTTGTAGCGTGATGTTAGATAGACTTCCTGAAGAATTGGTTTTAAAAATGCAAAAAATGTTTTCAAATCAGACTGGTATAGTTCCAGAGATTAGAGAACTCTAACAAAAAAAAAGAAACAAATAACTCTTCTACTAAATTTACATCACTTAATAGGTAACATATAATACACCGGAGCATCAAACAAGAAGCTTTATGCTTAGTGTCGTAGTAGTTACCACACTGCGATTGGCACTAAAGAGTTTAAATATGTATGTGTTTTAAGCTATATAATACTTTATGTAATGTAATATTAAAGTCATAATAAATACAAATAAAAGGTATATATTTAGTAATAAAGGAAAAAATAATAAATTTTCAAGAATTTTTCGACATTGTTTTTTACTAGTTTGGTCTTCAATATTACAGCCAGTACATTTCACTTCTGTTTCCTTAAGTGTAGAACTACTTTCATAAATGCCAGAACTAGTGCTTGGTACAGCCAGAGCAGCTATTTGCACAATAGACTCTTCATGTAATGCACTTATTGTCTGCAAATAATAACATATTTTACAAAATGTTGCTTTATATCATACATCTAAACTACTACATTTCTAAATACATAATTATTATAAACGTTATTAAAGTTCAAAAATTTTGTCAAGCATATTCCCGGGTACACGTTGCCCAGTAGGAAGACAATTTCCTCTGGTATGATTCCAGCTTTGTATCAACAAACATTAAGCAGCGTCAGAGAAATAGTTTCTAGGGACGCAAAGTCAGTGTGCTTGACAACAGACCTTTGGACCTCGTCACAGACCGAAAGTTATATTGGCGTAACAGCGCACTATATTGATGACAATTTTGAGCCCCAAAAAATACTGCTAGGGTGCAAAAGCTTTAATGAAAGCCATACTAGCGCTAATCTAACGAAAGCATTAAAAAATGTGACTGATGAGTGGAATTTGACTAAAAAGGTTAATTTCGCTATTTCAGATAACGCTAGAAATATTGTAAAAGCAATTGAAACCGATTTAGGATGGAAACATTACGGGTGTTTTGCACATTCACTCAATTTAATAGTTCAGTCGGCACTAAGGCCAATAGAACAATTAGTTGAAAATATTAAAAAAATAGTGGCTCACTTTAAACGAAGCACTACTGCTACTGATATGCTTCTTGGATATCAATTGAAAAACATGACGGAATGTGGTGAACCGAAACGTTTAATTCAGCAAGTGCCAACAAGATGGAACTCCACATTTTTCATGTTACGCCGATTCCTTTTACTACAAGAGGCGTTGAAACACTGCATGGCCCTTATTGAGAGAGACTGGCCTAATATTAACACAATGGAATGGGAGTTAATGGGGGAAGTGTGTACAGTCTTACAGCCTTTTGAAGAAGTCACTTCTTCTATCAGCGGTGATGAATATCTGACAGGAAGTATGGTCATAGTCATGACAAACTGTCTCACAGAAATATGTGATGATTTTCTAAACAAAGAAGAGTTCGCGCTATTTAATCCCACAACAAAGGAAATCGTCACTTCTTTAAAAAATGGATTGAAAGAAAGATTTGTTGGCGTAGAGCACAGTAAAACTTTTGGGCTCTGTACTTTGTTAGACCCACGATTTAAATTATTACTTTTTAAAAATGAATACGCAGTGACAGATTTAAAACGACATGTGCAGTCATTAATAATAGGCATGATAACACGGGATTCGTCCACAGACAGTACAACTCAAGTTGAAGAAAGAAGTTCTTCAGTTGTTAGTGCGTGGAATAAAGACGACTTACTGAAGAAAAGTAAGCCTCAGGGCAACGCTCTAGCGAGGGCTATAAGAGAATTGCAAATGTATATAGATGATGAGATACTGCCGAGAAAAAATTTGGAAGGCAAATGAATCGAAAATCGAAAAATCGAAGTGGTGGCGAGACCATAGAATAATTTACCCACATTTGTCCGAAATGTTCCGCATGAAGTGCAACATTGTGGCGACGTCAGTTCCTTGTGAACGATTATTTTCTAAAACAGGGTTGATCATCAACGAAAAAAGGTGTCGTCTCAAGCCCCACAAAGTTGAGGAAATTACATTTTTAAATGAAAATCTGGATAAGAAACGATTTGATAAATAAGAAAATTGAAAAGTAAAAATAAAAAAAATATAAAAGGAAAAAAATATGTATACCTACGCCTGTAAATATTTTTACAACTTGTGTAATCATTTGTAATTTGTAAATACGGTGATTTTTAAATGCGCCAGTAAAGTTTTATTTTTTATGTACCTCTTGTACCCACTATGTTATTGTGCAAGAGGCGTTACCTATTTTGTATTTTGTGGAATTCGAATTTAAAACTTTTCTGCTAGTCCTAAGCCTAGTTAAGCATGAAGGAAAATCGCCAATTAAATAAATAATAATCATTAATAAATAAACTACCTAAAATAATTTCCTAATATATACATAAAATTATGTTTACTTCTTATGAATACAGTTTAATTATAGACTTTGAAATCAAACTCTGATCCAACGTCTCACTTTAAAAAAAGTGATAAAATCAATGATATATATATAGTAAATATACATTTGTAATATATATGTATATAATTTATTGTACTGTGTAGTGGCGGTGGAAGAATATCCACTACCCCATATCATCCCGTGTTTGTCGTAAAAGGTAACAGAAGGAAACAAACGAGGAGATGGCTAGCAACGTCTTCCAGATAAAGCCAAAAAATATAAAATAAAACAGTGTGTAGGTACTTAGCGGTTAAAAACAGTGTGTCGTGAAAACACACGATGTAAGTGAAACTTTAGTATTACAGGGAAACATTTCAATTATTCATTTTAATAGCATAAATTGTGTATGTGTATATCATTCATTTATTTACATAAAAATATATACATCACAGTATATATTTTTATATGGGAGCAGTGGTAGCTCAGATGGTTAGCGCTCACTGTAAGTTTCACAGTACGCGAGCAACCCGGGTTCGATCCCCGCCGGCACTAATGAAATTGTTAATTGCAATTTTAAGTGCTGATTTACCACGTGCTCGGCGGTGAAGGAAAACATCGTGAGGAAACCTGCATGTTTGAGAAATAAAAAAAATATATATCTTCAAGACATGTAAAGTTAGCCAACATGCATTGGGGCAGCGTGGCGGACAGTTCCTTGTTCTAAAACCCTCTCAGAAATTAGAGGAGGCCTGTGCCCAGCAGTAAGACGTATATAGGCTGCAACTTTGCTTTTTTCTTATATATATCACAGTGCATCATCTTCTTCGATCTTAAATTGAGAAATTACTGGTTTAAGTTGTTAATTAAGTAATTATCTATCTAAGTTTATTTTAATTAAACCAAAGTTTTATATAATATGAACAAAAATTCATTTGAATTAAAATTTACAAATTGTTATTTTAAATAAACTAAATAATGAAATTTAGCGGCTCTGTGGCGCAGTAGCTTAGCGATTGAATTGCAACGCTAAAAATCGCGGGTTCGAATCCCGCACGGAACAAGTATTTGTATAGCCTACAAATAATTGTTTCGGGTCTGGATGTTTGTCCTTGTGCAATTTATGTATGTAAACTGCCCCAACAATACAGGAGAAAATTCTAGTGTAGAGGTTACACTAGAATTTTCTCCTAAAAAATACGAAATTTTATTTTGGTTTATGCCATCTAGCATCTACTCTACGTACCGCCTTGAGAGTCAAACAATTTTTGTTCAATAAAATTACTTCACCTATGGAATGTACTAGATGGCGCTATTACTCAAATGCGATCACTCTTTCTAAATTAAATACTTGTACCTTGGTAACTGTTTTAAATAAAATTAATATAAGATTAGTATTTGAACGAAATATCGTTGTGTAATTGTATTACTATATACTTTATGGTATGTAATGGCCTGCGTTTGCGATTTGAACGATCGACCGAATGACCCGGTACGTAATGTTTGCCCTTACCACTTTTCGTCACACTAAAAGGTCAGAATTTCAAAGACCTCCCGTAAAAGCTTCCACTTCAAAAACTGCAGTTGCCAACCCGCTTGCCAAACGTGCAAACTATGGCAAATATTCCCCCTATGATGCAATCTATGAGTATAATATCTCCTTATGTTCAGCAGTGGACTTTAATAGGCTGTAACGGTAACGGTATAATTTATTACTGCATAACAATGAATTTACAGAAATTATATATTAACATGATGTCTAAATATTACATCTAAGATAATATTATAATTTATAACCTCTGAGATCTAAACTAAAATAATCTAAGTAATTCGTAAAATAAATGATGCACTCGTTCTACAGTTTGCGTTTATGTTTTGGTTGTCGTTTGCGCATTCAGTAGGAAAACATTACTACTGATATCGATATTTGAAAACGGTTTTCAATAACGATATGAAAACTAAATATCGGTTATGTAACCGTTGCAGCTATAAACTGAAAACGCCCATGCTTACTAACTAAGGCCCGCCCATAGACTTAGGATATACTGGCGTATAGACGACCTGACAACCCGAAAACGCGTGACCAATTTTGATTTGTTATTGTGTGAGTTGACTAGTGATGTACATTTTATTTAAAAGGGCTATCGAAAAATTTTTGTTCAGAAACCGGTATAAAGACTAAAAAAATAGTTTAGTGCACAGAACTGAATAACTTTTGTGTACTAAACTATTTAATTAGAAATTAACTAAATTTTTACCATGATTGTTTTAAAATAACTAAAAATATTCTAATAACATGGTACCGGGAATAAGCTGCACCCACCTGCCTTTTCCATCATCCATAATCCATTACAGGCTTTAAAAATCCACTGCTCAAATGGGCCTCCCTATAGATTGCCTCATAGAGGGGATATTTGCCATCGCTTGGCCAGCGGGTTGTCAACCACAGTTTTTTATTATTTCGAGTTGTTATCAGGAAGATGCTGCTGCCCATCGCTTCTTTCAGTTTCACTTTGTCACCTTTTATGACACACATGGGACGATACAATGATCTGAACAGACAGATCTCCAAATGCATGCGGCGGGACTTACGCAACTTCAATACAGCTCGTATTGAAGAAGCGATCGAGCGGAACCAAGGCTCCAAAGTCTTTGCCAGAGATCTGTCTGCCAGAAAGAGCCAACTGTCAAAGCTGAAGACAGAATGTGGCAGCATCGTTTCCGGGACACCTGAGATTTTGAGTGAGATTGAGAGGTTCTATGGGCAGCTGTACACATCATCGTTGGAGCCACACGCAAGTGTGAGTAACGATCCAAGAGCGAGTCTCATCCGACACTATTCCGAAGATATCCCGGATGTCAGTCTGAGCGGGATTAGGATGGCTCTCCAGCACCTTAAAAACGGTAAGGCCCCAGGCGAGGATGCAATTACAGCGGAGCTTCTGAAAGCGGGTGGAAGACCGGTACTTGAAGTCCTTCAGAAGCTCTTTAATTCCGTCCTCCATGGTGGCATTACACCGGAGGCGTGGAGCAGAAGTGCGGTGGTCTTGTTCTTCAAGAAAGGTGACAACGCTCTCTTGAAGAACTACAGACCGATTTCCCTTCTGAGCCGCGTCTACGTGCTGTTTTCGAGAGTCATTACGAATCGTCTCGCGCGCAGACTTGACGACTTCCAGCCTCCCGAACAAGCCGGTTTCCGAAAGGGCTTTAGCACCATAGACCACATACATACCCTTCGACAAGTTGTACAGAAGTCCGAAGAGTACAATTTGCCACTATGTCTGGCGTATGTGGACTATGAGAAAGCCTTTGATTCCGTCGAAATTTGGGCGGTGCTGCAGTCCCTTCAGCGGTGCCAAGTTGACTGTCGGTATATCGAAGTGTTGAAGTGCTTGTACAGTAGGGCTACGATGGCTATCCGAGTACAGAACCAGAGTACGAAACCTATCCAATTGCAGAGAGGTGTAAGACAGGGTGACGTCATATCCCCGAAACTCTTCACCGCTGCATTGGAAGACGTTTTCAAGCTTCTGGACTGGAAAGGATACGGTATCAACATCAATGGCGAGTACATCACTCACCTTCGATTTGCCGACGATATAGTCCTTATGGCAGAATCGCTGGAGGACCTAAGCACTATGCTCAATGACCTCAATAGTGTTTCCCAACGGATAGGTCTTAAGATGAACATGGACAAAACTAAGATCATGTTTAATGTCCATGTCACACCTATGCCGATAGTTGTTGGGAACACTAAGCTCGAAGTTGTTGACGAGTATGTTTACCTGGGACAAATAGTCCAATAAATACTGGGTAAGTCCAACTTCGACCGAGAGGTCAATCGACGGATTCAACTCGGCTGGGCAGCGTTCGGGAAGCTACGACACATCTTCTCGTCAGACATACCTCAAAACCTTAAAACGAAATTGTACAACCAGTGCGTGTTGCCAGTGATGACTTACGGAACTGAGACGTGGTCCTTCACTACTGGCCGTATGAGGAAGCTCAAGGTCGCTCAGCGAGCTATGGAGAGGGCTATGCTCGGAGTTTCTCTGCGTGATAAACTTAGGAATGAGGATATCCGCAGTAGAACCAGAGTGACCGACATAGCCCAACGGATTAGTAAGCTGAAGTGGCAGTGGGCCGGCCATATAGCTCGAAGAACCGACAACCGATGGGGAAGAAAGGTTCTCGAGTGGCAGCCTCGTACCGGTAGGCGAAGTGTAGGGCGTCCCCCCACGAGATGGAGTGACGACCTGGTAAGACATGCAGGAAGTCGATGGATGCAGGTGGCTCAGGACCGTGTTTTGTGGCATTCTTTGGGGGAGGCCTATGTTCAGCAGTGGACTTGTGAAGGGCTGTAATGATGATGATGAATGATGGGACGATATTGGGTAGTGGAAATTCTTTCACCGGCACCACTTGTCTTTTGTTGGACTTTAATTCA